CATCTGCACTTTGTGCTTGGGAGCCCAAAACCTCTTGCTGCGACCCAGATGGAATTAGCAGAGTAGTCTCCTTATTTCTGATTGTTAGATCATCCCTTTTTAACTCCAGCAAAGATGACTTGCAGATTAAACCTCTTGGGGGTCAAGGCAGTTGTTGTGTTTGTACAGCAATTAGCACAGCAGGATCCCAGGCCACAAATGGCCTCCAAGGCTACGTCTGTACTGCCTGTTAGCTCAAGCCTCATTCCTCCTGCAAGCCAAACTTCCCAGCTCTCAACACCGCCTACACAGAGGTTTTTACCCTGGCCTAGCCAGGAACACGAAGTGAGCTCACACCTCGTGTAGAGACCAGCTCAGGCTTGAGCTGCGCTCCACAACAGCACAGACGGCAGCAGCTCTGGGCTCTTCCCTCAGCAGGGTCACCCCGTCATCCCATGGACAGAGCTGCAGTTCTGGTGCTCAACAGAGTCTGCAACATCTTAACTTGAAAAGCAAAGATGAAGTGAAATCACAGATCTCAAGCCCACCACCCCAGCTCCCAGGAAGTCTTGCAGAAAGGAAGGTGTATTTGTGAGATCCCACTCAGAGCAGCAGAGAACAGGCTGCTTGCCTTGTTTCAGCTTCGTCTTGGGGCAAAGAATCTAATGGACCACGTGGGTTTTCAGAAAGAGCCTCTGTAAAAAACCCATCTAACAACACAAGTGAAACAGTGCAAACAGCACTAAAATAACAGCTGCTTTCACAAGCTTTCACCATGAAAGAATGAGGCAACAGCTCAATAGTGCAATCCTGATTCTGCCACATTATGGACTTCAAGACCAGACAGCTTTAATCTAGTACAAAGGTCTAATGAGAGTCAAAGAAAAATCAAAGTTAGACAAGAAATAAGGGTCACAATCTTAACAATGTGGCTAATTTGACTAGAATTATACTGAAATCCCCCCAGCAGTTAAGAGGAAAAGCTCTACAAGAAACCATGCAAGTCAAATGGAAGAGACTGGCTGAAATCTTTGACCTGTCTTACCTGACATCCAGCTGGAATAGCACTGAGTGTCCTCCTTTCTGTGAGGATCATGCTCCCCCAACCAGCATCTGAGCTCATCAGCCCTTTCCCAAGCAATCCTAGCATGTTCCCTGCCACTCCCAATTTTCAATTCTCCACATATTTAGTTTTCAAATTTTACATGATATATTTTGCCTGGGGCACAGCAGCTCACTTACCCTTCTCCTACTAGCTCTCTGTTTAATTACAGTTTAATGTGAATTGATCTTTACATTAATGAGTCTGTAAAGAAGATTGATTTTCTTCAAGAGACTTTTCTGCTCAGTTTGGCAGCAGAGTAGTCCTATTGATTTCGCTTTCCCCAGTAAATACACTGCAGTGTCACTGCATCTTCTTGTGAATCAGCTAATCCTATTTCACACACTTTTGCTCTAAAAATCCCTGTTCTGAGTTCCTTGTTATCTGTGCTTATTCAGAGCAACATGATGGGGCCAAAGCATCTCAAACAGCTCTGCCTGTTGCTAACACACAGCTGACTGCTGTGGGTCACTGTCCCCTTTGTTCCTAAAGGGCTGGAGGCTTAAAAGACTTACAGTGAAAGAAATGAAAGTTATTTTTAAGTGTTTAATCTCTTAACTTCCTTAATTCCCAGCCAGCTAAGGATGTGGCAGAGTGTGGTCTGTTTACCACACTTGCTCCAGAGGTCTGGTTAGCCCTCTCCACTGAGCCCTACAGCTGCCCAACAGCCTGTGGCAGAGGATGCTGACTGAATCAGGCTTGCAGCCAGGGCAGAGGACAAGGATCCACCTCCACCATCCTGCCCAAACACCCCAAAACCCTCCAGGATGCACTTACTCACATGCAGGTAATGAAGACAGGCCCCAGAGTCAGGGTTGAGCTTGTGCCTGCTCTGGGGTTTGTAGGAAACCCATAATAACAGACCAGTGCAGGGCTGATTGCAGCTCCTTTAACCTGGCAGGTCTAAGAGTTCTTTCATGCAAGTTAGTGAGGAAGTTGGATATAAACAGATTAGGTTCTGCAAATAAATGGTTTCTTCCATCATCTCTTTCCCCACCAGATCAGGTAACAGGGTCTGCTCAGAGTTAACACACTGTAGCTGCACTGGGATGGGAAATCCTCAGCCAAGGGCATGTCAGTGAAAACATCCTGCCATCAACTCCCAAATGTCCGAGTCTAGGAACTGTAACTAAATTACAAATGCTGTGGGAATTTCAGGCAAGGTTCTCCTCTCAGCTATTCCGATGTAATTTCGGAATGAATCCAGATTCGGTCTCTCCCCCTCCCAGCTGAATTTCCTGGCTTTTGTTTGCACTAACAGATGTTTGCATTTAATGTCTGTCTTTATTTGGTAACCCGTACATAGATTATTTTTCCCTTCTGTTCTATTAAAAGCCTTATCAAGTCCCTTATGTTTGCTCTTGCTGAAATGAACGACTTTGGCAATATTTTCAGCATGCAAGGCAAACAAACTGATTCTTCGAGGAATAACTAAACTGAACCAAACTTCATGGCAGTCTGTCAGGACAAAGCATTTTTGATGCATATGTTATGTCTGCATCCATCTGCAGCCTGGGACATCCAAAGGCTTGCAGAAAGCTTTGGGAATTCTCTCTTCAACAGATTCTCACATATATACTCAACTGGCCTTTGGTCCTCACACGTGTGGGGTCAGGCAAGTTTTGGGTGATGGAGACAGGTAAGGAAAACCCAAAAGCAAGGAATGCAAAGCAAAGCTCATTAAAAAAAAAAAAAAAAAAAAAAAGGGACAAAACCCAAACCCCCCCCCCCCCCCCAACCACCAAACTTTATGGGAAATTTGAGTTTGGCAGTATTGTTTCTCCTAGCCCCAAAAGGAGAAAAAGTGTGTTTTCCTGTTTCAGAAGAGTAGGAGATGAAATAACTCATTCAGAAGGGATGTTCTGAGTGACAAATATACAACCCTTGCTTTTATAATACATTAACAGTCCTTTGGAAATACTTAACCACATGCAATATACAAAACCGACTTCAGAGGTTTGTGAGGTAAACACACTTCACACATTTCTAAACACTGAAAAAAAAAAGGAAATGTATTTATTTTTCTTTAGCATTAAGAATACACTGTAACACTATACACTTAAACACAAACCAGTTTCTCAGTACACAAGTCTTCATTATGAGTCTTCACCCTGGGTTTGGCTTGGCAGCCTCCCCAATTATTACTTCACAGATTGGAAGGCCAGAAGAAACCAGTATGACCATATAATCTGATTCCTTACATCACACAAGGCTAAACAACTTTACCCACCAATTTGCCTATCAAGCCCATTAACCTAGGGTTGAACTAAAGACCCATCTTTTAGGAAACCAACCAATTGATTAAATAAAGGCTCCCAAAGATGGAGAAAACTTCACTTCCTCAGCAAATCATTCCAATGTGAGTCAGCAACATTGATTGCAGCAGGTACTTTAAAACATCATTCAGGTTATTTTTATCTCTGATAAAAATTAAAAGGAAATGCAAGGGGGGAAAGAAGTGGCATTCTCTAATACAAGCTAAACAAAGAGACCCTTCTTGCAGAAGTATGACAGCAGCAAATCCTGCTATCAGAGTTATTTATGTGTAGCAGCTGAGGAGAGCAATTCAGATTTCTGCAAAGCGATACTAAGCATATTTGTTCAGAATCCCATCCTTTTATCATTTGGCTTTGTAGCTTCTCCTTCCTTCTGCACCACTCTGAAATTTCAGAGGAGCTGTAAATCTACTGCCTTCCACAAGTCATTATTCCTCCTTTCCAAACTGCTTATTTCATTTCAGGAATAAAAAACCCAAAGCTCCAGCAATTTGGTTCTTTGCCAATGGCTAAATTAATAGCAAAAATAACAACAGGGGCTTGTGGAACTCAGAGCATTTATAGACTACGTGAGAAAGAGAAGCCAGTCTGGGGGGCCTAAAATGTATCCCTGGATGGCAAATTCTATGCAAGGTTTCCATCCATAAATCAGATTTCTGGAGGTCTTTTTCAAACCCTGGTGCACAGCACAAACGTGGCAGCACAGTGAGCCAACAGATAAAGACTGCCTCAGAGTAAGTCAGAGCCTTTTGAGCAAGAGAGGCCAATCAGCTGGTGGTGTAGTCACAGGCATTTTCCACCACAAGAAGCACCAAATTCATGGAGAACACAGATACCTGCCTGCAGATGCACTGGAAGCCACACCTGAACTGCTCCAGTATTTTAGTGCTAGAGTCCCTGTTAGCTATAAACACTTCCCAGGAACCTGGGAGGTACCATGCAAAACTCCTCAGTGCACATCACAAACAGACACATGCAAAAATCATTTCCACACTCTTTAGGTACTAAATAGTTTGATATTTTAATACTTTATTCCCTTCAGCAGCATCATTGACACAAGAGCCTTGGTGGCCAATACCCAAGAGCTCTCAGGTGTCTAATGCTTCTGTGGTCATCTAAACCACCAAAGTTGGAACTTCAAACCTTCTGCAGATCATGCCTTACAATCACTGCTCTCTCAAAAGAAAAAGTTAAAAAGAAGTTGAAAGAAATCATAAAAACAGGTCTGCAATGAGTTCCCTAAAAGATTAAGATATGAATACTCTCTGGCTTTAAGAGGAAAGCAAAAATGGTCAGAACAGAGCCAGGAAAAAAAAAGAATAAAGCAAATGTAAAATTTAATAGCACAAGTATGACCTAATGTTTGAAACCCAAAGGCAGATGAGAAAAAAAAGCTTTTTCAACCTGTGGCATTTACTGACATAAGTTACCAATGACCATAAGCACAACCCACAACCTCACACAAATCGCACTACTCCACATGACGTTTCTTAATTAAGGTTAATTAATTCTTAAATTTCTTAGCAAGCCAACAACCAAAATCTGAAGTCAGCAGGACTGAGTGTGACCCCCGTGAAACTCTCAGAGGCAGCTGCACCCTCCCCAGAGAGAGCCCAGGGCCGGAGGAGGTGGCAGTGACTTACAGGTGCAGGGAGCGGACGCTGGAAGCAGCAGGTCCCAGCGAGGGAATGGCACTCAGCTCGTTGTGCTCCAGCCTCCTGCAAAACACAGAAATTGAGGGTTGAAGGCAAGCTCTGCCCAGGCATGCAGGAGCAGGGGAGGGCTGACACTGGGGCAGAAGCCTCCATCTGAAAGGGTTTTTCTGCACCTCTGATGGCCACACCTTACTCTTTAATACATGAGAGCCACCACCACTGGTTCCACTGTTCTTTACAAGAATAAGGATTTTTCCCCCCCCTGCCACCCACTCCAGGCTGGAAAGCATCATGCCACTGTGGTAGGCACATTTTTCTCTCAGGATTTTTTCATAGAAGAGTACAGAGGAAAGAAAGAGAAAACAATTTCTATTTCTGCTCTTTGTTTTCCCATGTGGAATGTGTTTGAAGAATTGTTCACTTGGGGTGATTGCTTGGTTGGATTCTGGTGAGGATTGTTTGAGCTGATGGCCAATCCAACCCACCTGGGGCTGGACTCTGGAGAGAGGGTCATGAGTTGTGTTAGAGATAGATATGGTAGTTAGAAAAAGTAAGTATGTAGTTTTAGTACCTCCTTTAAATAGTATATTAATGTATTCTAGTATAGTTATAATAAACAAATCATTCAGCCTTCTGGAGTCAGATTTCATAATTTCTTCCCACCAGGTTCACCTACATTTACAATATGCCACACCAGCCTGTGTTTCCAGAGCAAACCTCAGACAGGAGAGTTTTGCCCCTTAAGGCCATGTGTGCCACTGGCTCAGGACAGGAATTTCACCCCTTCCCCAAGCAGCAGCCCCTGCTCACACCAGGTCAGGGCCTAGGGGCACAACCTAATGGCATCCTCTCCATTTCAGTTCTGGAAGTCCCAGAGGGATTTCCCCACAAAAAAAAACCAGCACAGCAGTGCTAGGCACAGTAATGTCACCAGGCACAGAAATGTCACCAGGCACAGGGGCTCTGCTCCAGCAGCTGGGAGCACAGAGCCCCAGGTCAATGGCAGCCCAGGCCACCCGCTCCTGCAGCCACCAGCACAGAAATGTCCCTGCCAGGACCTAATGCTTCAAGTGTTTCTGTGACTGAAAACAGATCCTTGCCATGTGTCTGGCTCTTCCTTGCTTTAAAGAGCCCTTGTTTGTACGGTGAATTAGCCAATTAATTACTGTAACAGTCGCTCGTCTGGCTGCTTAAAATTACCTAATTTCTCAGTCTTCTTGCCCACTCCCCCTCTCGCTGCAGAGATCACAGCCAAGCCCTGGCCAGGCTCCCCAGGACCCCCAAAAAGCCCTGCTGCCATCACTGCTGCTCCAGGCACAGCCTCTGGTCACTGCAGGCCTTCCAAGTGCTCCCCTTCTGCAGGGAATCCTGACAAGATCACAATTTGGGTGCACAGCACAGCACCCCAGAGCTGCACAGCCGAGGGCACGAGTAAGGGCAATCCTAAATTATGCTGAGGGCTTTTTTCCCTCTCCTTTCCTTTTAACACTATTTTTGGCAGGTGGGAGAGGGCAGTGGCACATTTATCCCAGAACTTCCCTTCTGGCTCCTCTGAGAGGAGGCAAGATATTTGATTTCACGAGGAGTTCCAAGCACTGCTGGGATAAAAGCTTTCCTCTGCCTCTGACATTATACCCATGCCTTAAAATGTAAGGGAAAAAAAGCCAGATGCATTGCAATTCAGCAAGGAACTCCACTCTGCAACTAAAAGCTCACTGTTGCTCATATTACAACATGGTCTGGAGCTTCCAAAGGTACAAAGCAAGCTGGAAAGAGCATTAAAATGCTTATTTGAGCACGTTTTCATTAACATCTAACTAAGCATCTTCTGGAGAAGGAGCCTGTGTCAGCTCTGGTTAAGCAGCTCTGACACCAACCACAAGTGGTCAAACCCTCCTCTGACATAAGTGTGATGTTCATGTATCAGCCTCCTGTCATGTCAGGAGTCAGTCAGAAGTGGTTCTCCCACCTCATTTTCTCTCTTGGCTCACAGGCACCATTTGCTGACACAGAGGAGACAGCCAAGCTCTGTATTTGCCTGGGATTTCCCACTCATCTTCCTTTTTTCCTGTGTAAAGGAATTGAAAAAGAAAAAAAAAAAAAAAAAAGAGGGGAAAAAACCCTCAAAACAGAACAGCTGGGCTCAACAACTTTAAAAACTTGCAGTCTCCTTCCCCAGCCCTCACCTTTGACGACACAAACCCTCTGGATGCTGAAGCAGAGGAGGAGGGGGGGCCACCCGTATAAAATATTTACAGTCCAGTTGCCAGGCTGGTGTCAAGCTGAAATGGAGCCTGCTCAAAAATAGCACAGCTCTCCAGAGCTTTCAGTGAAAGGCACTTTAGAAAATAAAAGGTGAGTTGTTTGGAGAGGAATTTTAGCGTGGTTACTACTTTCTCTGCTACCAATGAGCCTGGAAAGCCTGAGAGCCATGAAACCACCAGTCTGGTGGATTCCGTGATCCATATGACCTGAGGAAACCCCAGAAAGGAGCACAGGGTCTACCCCACAGCAGCAGCCTCCATCCATCCTTCCAACCAAGGAATGAGGATGGATGGACACCAGGGGATTGTCATCAGATGAACCCACCAAAGGGGATGAAAGAAAGATCAAAAAAAGAAAGATTGTCCTGAAGGAAAATAATGTCCCAGTCCAGTCCCTACCCTGAACCTCCACCAGTTATTTCAGATCAAGTCAGATCACAGGGTTTTGCATCACTTTGAGCCACTAAATTTCATCCTACACAGACTTAAAACTTTTGTAAAAGCTTCTTATAACTGCCACCAAAACAAAGCACATAAACAACTGCCTAAACTCAGGGAAAAGTGTAGGGTAAATTCTGCTATGGCTTTATCACGCTCTCAGTAAAGCAAAGCAGAGAATCGAAGATAAGGTGTGAAGTTTAAGTCTTTTGGTCTGCAAATATTTTCTTTAAATCAAGGGCAAACAAAATGTTTTCAAAATATACCACACTAATTATTCACATGGAGAGACACACACAGAGTTTTAAGCCTTGTGTAATGCTCAGGAGCCACAGACAACACGTTTGAAGCACCATGGGAGGTTCAGGTCTTATCAATGCATCTATTATTTGGGGCAATCTCTTTCCCTGAGGGTGCCTTGGTTTGCCCAGCACAGCATGCACAGAGAAACACTGACTTGCTCTCCAGACATGCCACAGCATGATGCTTATTTCATGAATGTTTGTAAAGTGCTTTAAAAAAACCCTCAGACAGAAGATGCTCTGGCAATATAGATGTGGTTCTCCTTGTGAAATAAAGTTTATTTCAGTGGTCTGTGGTTTAGCTGTTATTCAAAAGCAACTAAGATTAGTAGATAGGGCTTTTAATAGAGCTTCTCCCTCACACTTCCCAGAGCCTGCCTTCCAGGCTCTGCTCCAGACCTCTGCCTCCCCTCCAGTCTCCCATTTCTGACTGCTCCCTTTCCCTCCTACTCACTCTTCTGCTCTCTCCCTATTCCCTAACCCTGTCCTTCTGACACAGCAAGCAGCTCTTATCTATCCATTACATTGTGGCTGCACTACTAATCTCCCAGAAACCCTGACACCTTTTTAGAGCATGTAACTGTTCAATGCAGGGCTTGCCCTGCTCTTACACATGCAGCACTTTGCTCAAGGGAATTCCTACCTCAGGAATCAGAAGCCACACACCCCGTGCTCCCTGAAGTCACACACCTTCAGGCACTTCCATGAATAAAAGCTATTGCTAAGCCACAGTTATGTTAGGATAATTCTACAGGCTCACAGAACCAGGGCTGCAATTCTCTTCTTTAAGCACAGAGCAATTTAAGGCTTTCCACAGTGAAAAGAGAAGTTGAGAAAACAGATCCTACAGGCAGTGTTCTGCTGACCCACATCACTTTCTCTCTAAAGATCGTGCAGAGCTCATTTCAGAGCACTGCAGTCACTTCTGCTGTGCATTCCTCACTCATGATTCCCAGCAAGTCCCTACTATTCATAAACAGAGGAGCCAGGGGCCATCAGGCCAGGAGAGGGATGCTACTTTAAGCTCCACAGCCCAATCCAGACGACCATCAGTCAGGGAGAATTCCACTTTCTGCCTATGTAAGAATCACAGGATCTGGCCCCTCCATGAGTCCCAACACTTAATGAAAACAGAGGACAAGAGCAAATGCTTGATAGAGCACAGTATTGTTTCTGAAAGGAAATCTTTTTTTCAGTTTCCCATGAGGCACCACTAGCTCTTCAAACAGAGCCCAAACCTCAAGTATGCCAGCGATTCACCAGGCAAACACGAGCTCATTACCTCAGCCCACCGCCTGCAACTTCAGCCACTTTTATTTTTTAAACCCCAAAATTCAGAACTCTGGGAATCCCTGTGAAAGGCTGACAGTGCAGCCCCTCTCTGAGTGGAACTGCTGAGCCTTCACAGAGATCAGGAGCTTGGAAAACCTGCAGTTCACTGAAATAGGTTTGTTTTACCAGCAAGGAGGGTCTGGCACAGCCACTCAGACCTTCCCCAGCTCCTTTTTTCCCCACCAGAGCAGAAGACAGCTCTGCTGGTTTATCCTCTTCTAGCAAGACTTTCAACAGAATTTGTTCTGGTTCCAAAAGGAGCACAAATGCCTGAGAGAGGAGGAGGCACAGTTAAATGCTTTGTTACCCACTACACTACACCTTTGTTTCCTGTGAGATTTGGGCTAGGTTGGCATCAGGTATCACAATCCAGGCTGCTGTGCCTTGCTTCAGGGTTATGCTTTCAGCAAGGAGCTCTGTGTGTGTGTTCAGGTGTGCTGAACTGCTGCCTCCGAGCTTTGCACGACACCCAGGGAGGCAAACTCCAATGATTTCCAATAACAGCTCTGCTGTTTTAATTGGGATGTTGTGTTCTGCTCATTGATTAGTTTAAAAAAAAGCAGCCCAGATACAATATGGAGGGAAAAAAACTCCACACCGAGTCAGACCTGCTCATTAAACTTAGCTAAAGGAAGGTACTGTCTTAGGAAACAAGACATAATTTCCTCACAGCCCACAAGCAGCCCTGGCAAAATACAATTGAAACCTTTGAAGGAATACTTACACTTCCTGCAGGTTCGACAGCTCTGCAAAGACAGAAGGATCAATCTCTGCCAACTTGTTGTAGCTCAGGTTTCTGTTAAAATAAAAGACAAAGGGATCAGCAAAATACAGTCACCCTGCTCAGCAAATCAGAGTCATCTTAATTATTCTGGATTGCACTGGAAGGGTTTGGGGTTTGGTTTTTTTTTTAAAGAGAACTTAAGTGGGAGAGCAGCACTTTTCTGCTGAATACACAAGTCAGTTTAGTTCCATGACAAAAATGTTATCTAGCTCTCCCCAAGCTTCTTCCTCTTTTGCAGTAGATTAGTGTGGTTTTAATTTGTCTTCATATTACACAATTACATTTATTATTCTACTATTGATTATTTCCAACCACAAAACTAATCACAGATGAATAGAATGTTTCCTGACAAATTAAAGTCTGAACTGAAACAATCAACAAACCTTCCACTAAATATTTTATAGCTATAGTCACACAGGGTATTTTTTATACCACTGTGTTACACACAAAATACACACCCAGAGATATGCACACTATGTGTAAACAAAATATATTCTACATTTTCTAACAAGATGATATAATTAGTCTATCACTAAATTTTTTTTTTTTAATCAGTAAATACAGCTTTCAAGCCACACAGCAATACACACTTTGGTCCTCAACAACCCTAGCCAACACTTTCCAACTATCCAACAGCCCAAATCTAAACCTAAATCATATTCTAGCACCAATGGGTAACAAATGGGTTGTGTTGTATTATCTGAAAGCAGCTCTGCCTCACAGGACATCTCTGATTGGAAACACATCCAGAGCTCAACGTGCTGCAGGAAGGAACACACTGCAAGGATTGCTAGGGACAGCAAACAGGGAAAATAATGCAAGGTAAGTGCCAACTCCAGAAATCACAAGCAAGAGCTTTGCCATGCAGAGTCTTCCCTCCAAGATATGCTCTCTCAGCACACCACACAGGACAGGTCAAACCTGCAGCTAGCAACTAAACAAATCAATTAAGACCAAGTGACTAATGATGCAGAAAGTAACAAGTGCTTTAATTACACTTTTGTATGCAGTGCTGGCATGTTTCTGTGAGTGTGTAATCTAAAGAGGGAGGAGGCAAACTGATGGGTGGTAGCAGAAAAGCAACCACAGTAAATTGTAAGGAAATTGTGAGGGGGACTTCTTTAATTTTACTTTGCTCCACACCCTGCTCTCGGATATTACCCTGGGTAAAATTCAACCCTCGTGCCTCCTCTGCAGGGAGGTTACACCCTCTTACTGCACCTCTGAACACAACCCAAAAGATTCAAGGCCTGATTTTAGATAAGCCCTCAAACATTGAGCTGCTTATTTCAAACCACCAAGCCAGTCTGACTAGAAAACTGGCCAATCTCCATGGTTTGGGTTTTTCTTTGCTTTAAAACTGTGCCCACAGAAAGCAAGCAGGTCTGCAACCCAAACAGGTAAACAGGATCTAAGTCACCGAGGCATCTCTTGAACTTGTACCAGTGCTCCATGGCCCAAGAGCTGAGGCACACACAAAGGAAAAGCAGCTGCCAGAAGAGCACTGATGGAAAATATCTCCTGAAGTGCTCACACCAACACACTGCACTCTCTGGCAATGCAGAGACAAATCCAGGCTCACAGCAGCCCTACAAATACCAAGACTTGAAAGACTGCAAAGCTTACCAACTTTGTGTGATTAGCAGGAAGTGATAAACACCTCTTTCAAGCTAAAAAGCAGATATTGATCACCTGCCCTCTTGCAGTCCATTTATGGGAAGCCCTCAAAGCATTCCCCTGCACAAGGGAATAATTTGATGTCTCTCTCATCACGCCATTTCCCATAATTTCAGCTGAAGGCAGCTCCTCCCATCTTGCCCAAAATGTTCAATTTTTTGCCAACACCTGCTGCGGAAGAATGCTCTACAAATCAACAACACAGGCTGGCTCTTAACAGAGCCTAGAACTGAAGCTATACAGGAGTGTAAAACCTAACCAGGCATCTCAGTTTAAAATATGCTGTCCTGTAAGCCCCTACTGTCTTTTAAAACACTCAAGAGACCTTTAAATCAATACCAGCCTACAGCAGATATCCATTTCACTATGAACTCAAAGGCATTTATCTAAATAAAAGTCAAACTGCAGTTTAAACTCAGAGTGTGTTTGAAAGCCAAGTCCATATTCATAGCACAATTACGAATTAAAGTGCAATTTGCCCACAGATTACATTACTACCTTTTTTTTTTTAACCACACAGTAAGATCAGGTCGGAGCTTGTCCCTGCCTGATCTACAGGCAAAAAGAGAAAATACAACAGGTAACAGCACAATACAGGCTCAGCACAATAAAACAGATACACAGAAATATGAGTGACAAACTAAAAAGGGGGAAATACAGCCAGACACCATAGTGCATGAATCCATCTGTTTTCATGTATTTCTATGCCCTTTACTGCAGCCAAATTTCACATTTTTCAGGTATTTCTCCTCAACACATTCCCCTGTAATAGACTAAGAGGCTGTTTTATGGAGCAAGAAACAAGAACACATGCACCAGAACTGACCATCCCTGCACTTGCCAGAGGGACCAGATCCCTGGCTTAGCCTGTGCTCAAGCACTGAGTGACAGGGACACGAACCTCCAAAATTCACAAGTGAAAAGACAAAGATCTTCACAAATTAAAGGATTTCACAGACACAGTTTAACATCACCCAAAGCGACTTTCTGACTATTGCTGCTGCCATTCAGGACATTTGAACATCAAAGTCACTGGCTCTTCAGATAGCAGACAGATTTTGCTGCACCACCACCAGAAAGACTTCCCAATAGCTGCTGCAGAAATGCAGGTGAACTCCATCCTCTTGCACACCAAAGTCTTCAGTTCTCCCCACACTATTCACCCCAACCACACCAAGTATCCTCACTAAATGTAGACTATACTGCTCAAAAATCAGCGGGGAAATGAAAGCTAGAAATACAGTCAGTACAAAACAAGCAGGAGACTTGAAATTACATAGATATGCCAAGAAAAAGTTTACTGAGTTTCTGGCACTAGCTGTACTTTAACTTATATTAATATACCTAAGAATTTCTAGCCTGAAGCATTAGCAATCAAAGGATGTGTTTCTCAGAACTCTGATCCCCTCACTAGGCAGTATGTGGCACGCCAGTCACAGCATTTAAGTGAGAGAAAGAATTAACGTGCTCCAATAGATAGATCATTGGGACTGGGAGTCAGGAAACCTCTGTCTATTCCTGGCTCTCTTAATCTCCTGCTGTGTGACCGGGTCATGTCACATCACCTCTCCAGAGCTTTTGTTTCCACAGCCACCCTTTGTCTGTCTTGTCTATTTAGACTGTAAATAAAATTGAGGTAGGTATTGTCTTGGTTTGCCTGATGCTGATGAAATGAGGCCTCAATCTTGGTTGGGCTCCAGTAATGCAAATAAAGAAGGGAGCTCAAAACTTGAGGTCATGGCTGCACACGATGTTCTCCCAGCCCTAAATGTGGGTCCCAAATGTCCAGCAGTGCATGAAGCACTGGAGGGGCTTTAATGTCCCCACCAGGTTGGCCTCTCTGAGCTGAGCAGACCATCAGTGGAGCAGGAGATGCCAAGCCTGGGGGCACTGCTGTCCCATCACTGAAAGCTGTCCCATCTGCTGTTCCTCTGTAGCACAGAATGCATTCCTTCTCGAGGAGCCCTTGGGATAATGCCACAGTCACCCAATGGATCACCAAACAAATGTTTCTGCCATCAGTTTTCCAAAATGTGTTCCTCAAGGGAAGAGAGACATCAACTCCCAACACCAAAACCCTGTCCTTTCCCAAATCAGCACCTGCCCAACCCTCTCTCATCCTGGGCACCTCTTCAAAGGCAGTTTATAAAGCATCACCTACAGTGTTTTATGGCAGTTCCAAGAGCCCAGTCTTTGGTGCATGTTCTGCCCATTTCCTGCCCCCTGCACGTGAGGTTAGCTGAGCCCAAATGTGGGACTGCCCACAAACTGCTCAGTGCCCTGGGCCTGCTTCTCTGCATGGGCACGTGCTGCTTCTGTTGAATTACTCATGGAAGGAGATTTTGATCCCTCCAAGGCAACTGTAGAAAGAAAACAAAAGTCAACTAATATCAATTCAAGAGCCTGAGCTGTGAGTTCAGGGAAGTTAGAAGAGGTTAGAAGTTCTACAGCTGGCAGAGGAGAAAGAGCAGAACCACCAACCTGAGTGGCCCCTAACATTCGGATTGTTTTTTTATATCAACTTCTATTGAAAAGGAAAAGCTGGTAAGTGTTTTTAAACTTTATTCTGATTTACTGGCATGAAAAGTGCTCTGCATATTATTTACCCATTACAGACTTCAAGTCTTCCTTGTACTGGCTAATCCAACAATGTAGGGTTTTCCCCTCCTGTCACTAAGATGCCCATGATCAGGAACTGAGAGCCTGTTAAATCAATATGGGAAGGGCCCTGTTCTGTCTTTTCAGCCATTCCAGACTCTAAGAAAGCAGTGTTTGCCTTCAGGTGGCATTGTGAAAGTGGCACTGTCCATGGATCACTGAACACCAGAGAGACTGAAGTGACAGTCTTGTTAAATAACTGGGTATGTTCAAACTACCTCCCAAAAGAAATAATGCTGCCACAAAGAGTCCTGCTGACCACTGAGAGGGATCGGTCAGTTCCTTGACTTGTGAGAGGCCAGCCCTGTTTATGTACAAGTTTTGGCTCTGCTTTGGGACCTTGACCAGTGCAGAGAAAGCCACGTACCTCTCTGTTGGAAACAGAGGCGCCTGTCTGGCTCACCAGACAAAGGAACAGAGACATACATGGCTCCTGGTCTCTCCTCACCACGATGGCGGCTCAATTCTGTTCTGCAAGGTGAAAGTTTCCAACCCTTGCATCAAAACCATTTATCTGTCAGTGCAGAAGATTATGTCAAAAGTGTTTCTGCACCTTTTGATGACAAGCATTGGAGAAAAGGAGGATGGCTTGAAATTCTGTCACTGCCAACTGTGCCTTTCATTGAACACTTTGTCAAGCGTTGTCATAACACAACTTTTCATTGCTCCTGCACAAA